GTAAATTATTGTCTAACTATCATGAGGAGTCATTAACGTTAAGTTGTAACCAGGTAGTTAAATATTCACGTTTATGCAAATTTCTTACTGTTATAATTGAAGGTGAGCTGTGTAAATCTTTGTTTTTATTTTTATCAAACAAGTAGCTTTTTGTGTTAAAGGTTGGTGACTCCTGTCCTACAACAATACTCACCATATTATTCACCATTCTGCCTTTTGGTTTAGAGATCAGAACAGACATTTTATGCTGGTGCTACAACTTTTTGTTGTGTGCTACAAAACCAGCAACCTCTGTCGCACCGGTGCTATGAGCTAAAAAAGTTAACATACAGACCTGTATTAGTTCAGATCGAGTTCTTCCCCAGTGTTGAAAGTGTGTTTTTTCCAAGCAGGTTTGACGTGAGCTGGAGGAATTTAAGCATTTTAGAGTTTTGACAGGGAGGCGGGTTAATGGAGATGAAAGTTGACAAGCTGAGTTTCTAGTGCCGCAGGTGCTTTTAGCACTGAAGGAGCTGYCCGTCTTCATTCCAGCTCCCAGCTGATAACCACAGGGCTTGTCAGCTGGGAGTAAAACAACAAGATAAAAAGACCAGAGACTTCCCCTGAGGGATGGTCGTACTCACCTTTAGAGAGAGGAGCTCAAATATGTGGGAGGAGCTTGCAGCTRGGAGCCAGCTGAGGAGGTTTGGTCGTCTGCTATTTATCACTCAGAGTTTGTTTCTTAAATGACCCTCATGTGACTCAATATCTGTAACATGTTTATGGAATGTTCAAGAAGAATTATTCAATGTTTTCCTCTGTGACATAAGGAAGAAACACCGTTAGATAACTTCCTCCTCCCGTAAAGGTTTATATCACCCCTGTTTTACTGCAGAACCTGATGGGAAGGAGGTGGAGGCCGAGGAGACGGGAGGCGGCGAAGCAGAGGCGTCTCTCGCTTCTTGCTCGGGTCAGAGCTGCAGCTGCCTGTGCCACCTCCAGCGACCTGGAATGATGCTGATCTGGGTGCCCGTGGACGTGGAGTCAGCCGGGGAGGAGAACAACCACGTGAAGAGACAGACGCCGAAGAACGGCAAGAGGAGCGAGGAGGCGGAGCAGGGAGGAAAAGTTGACGGCAAGGCCAAAGATGAGGCGGAGAGTGCTTCCGTAAAGGAGAAACCGGGTACGAAATCAAATGTACCAGATTACCAGGACTGTTTGCCTTCAAAGGAGGAGGCCAGCAGTCCTCCTGTAAAAGAGAAACACGGGACAAAACAAAAAAAATCAAATTTCCATGCACAACTGAATGGTTTGCTTGCAAACCACCACAGCCAGAGGATATCAGAGCCAGGTTCTCAAGCCACCAATATTTATGAGTCTTCTCTTATAAAACCTGCTCCATCTCTACCAGCTCTCCGAGAGCCAACCTCGCAAGACGAAGAGGAAAACATCTACGAGGTCCATCTCCCTGTTCCTGAGGATTTCCCTAAAAAAACAATTGTAATAAGCGACCTGCTGAGGTTCTCTGAAAGCAACGCCAGCGCATCGAACGCCGCGCCCGCCGTCGTGGTTGACAAACTGGGCCCGGACGACACGCCGCCCGCCCGTCCCCCGAAAACTCACATGCTGGCGGGAAACCTACCCCCATGCAGACCTGCTCCACCTCCGCCACTATCGCCGTCCTCAAAGAGAGAACCCCGGAAGCTCAGCAATGTTTCTTTAAACCAAACAGGTTTGGCGAACGTGTTTATGTTTCCTGCGTAGATGAAAACAAAAACATCACCTGCTTTTTTAAAATTTTATTTAACAGGAGAGGAGAATGGAGGGATGGAAGAAAGGGAGGACAAAGAACCGTGAGTCGTTTCTCTTTGATGCATTCGGTTTCATCCGTTTTTAAATTCTTCACATGTTGTACTGATTTTACTTTTACTTCTCAGTCTCACTTCTTCTTTCATGTCTCCCATCAGGAGGAAGTTTTCGTTCAAATTGGAGTCTCACCTCCAGAACGGTAAAGCAAACCAGACCAGTTCCAGACGATTTGTTGAAACCTGGGCTATTATTGAGTGAATGCTTCGAAAGCTGTCTTTTGTTCTGCAATTTTTGTGCTATTTCAACTATTTATGTGTCAAAACGTTCAGCTCCTTCAGGACATTCCAGCTATGATGTTTGGTATTTCAGCAGTTTGCTTCATGTTAAGCTTTTTCTTCCATTCCAGGTTTCTTTGTATAGCACATTTACAGCTAACCAAAGTGCTTCACATTAGCGACAGCATCCCAGATAAAAATAAGAAATAAATTAGATTTATTAAAAAATAAAATGATACAATTGGCAATAAAATACCAATAAAGTAGCGATTAAAATAAAAACCAAGGTAAACTTGGAAATACCAGGTGCTATAAAACTAATGTAGGAGTTTCACCTACAGTGGAACAGTAGCAAGAGAAAACCGTTGATCATAATAGGTCATAAAACTTTTAAATATACAGCGGGTAAAATAAGTATTGAACACGTCAACATTTTTCTCAGTAAATATATTACTAGAGGTGTTTAATGACATGAAATTTTCACCAGATGTTGGTAACAACCCAAGTGATCCAT